TCTGGGCTAGCTCAGCCTGAGCTTGGGCTTGCCGTAGAATAGGGAAATATGAGTCGCGCCAAGGTCGTGCCATGCGGGGAGCCTGCGATGATGCCTTTGGAGGCGAAGATAGGCATACTCACCCATTGTCGGCTGCGCAAGAATCTGGGCGCGAGGTATAGCTGTACTTCCAGAAGTAAGGGCGAAGAGGAGGAAGAGGACGAATACGAGGAGGAGGAGGAGGAGGAGGAAGAGGAGGGGGAGGAGGAGGAGGAGGAGGAGGAGGAGGAGGAGGAGGAGGAGGAGGAGGCGAAGGAGGAGGAGGAGGGGGAGAGGAGGACGACGGGAGGGGGATGAGGACAAGGGGGAGGAGGACAAGGGGGAGGAGGAGGAGGAGGAGGAGGAGGAGGAGGAGGAGGAGGAGGAGGCTGGACTAGACCAGAAAGGTCCGCGCATTGAATTCTACCGCGGGGACCCCTCAGGATCCCTTCTTCCTTAGCGTAGGCCGAGCCTGGGTTTAACCCCAAGCTCTGCCCACGCCGACCTCGTACACGGAGTTCGCCACACAGCCCCCCGGCCTCCGTCAACGGCCGCCCGGCGACTCGCCTCAGGAACCGTGGATCTCCGTCGCGAACGCGGCGAAGAGCCCGAACGGGTCCGCGCTGCGCTGGCCCGCTGCCGTCGCTGGCTCGGCCGCCGCGGCTGAACGCCCGTCGCCGTCGGGACCCTCCGGGACGAAGGGCGCGGCGTTGGAGCTCTCCTCGAATCCTTCGTACACGAAGCCTGTCGCCCATGGGCCAGGCGGCGGGCGGCCGCGGCATGCGTCCGCCCTCGGCTCCGCCGGCGCCGCGTTGGCCAGGCGACCCTCGATCTCCACCATGCGGTCGGCCGCCGCCTCGAGCTCGAGCTGGGCCTGGCCTGCATCGGCGCCTGCGCGGACGACAGCCAATGCGGCCGTGTCAACCCGCTCACGGGCGTCCAGGAGGAGGCGCCGCAGCTCGGCCTCGTGAACGGCGCTGCCGTCCTCCAGGCCGTCCCGGTCCTCCATCGTGCCGTCGACGGAGTCGCCGCCCTTCTGGTTATCGACCGCGCCCTCCTTGACGAAGCAGCCGCCCTGCAGAAGCTGCTCGGCGCCCTCCCCCACGAAGGCCGAGCCGTTGCCGTCGGCGTCGGAGCCCTCCTCGTAGAAAGTCACGTCCACCTCGGCGCCGAACTCGGCGATGCTGCTGCCCAGCATCTGGATGCATCTGGTTGAAACCCTCGGGATAAAGCGTGGGGTTCTGCTCGAACCGCTCGCCGTAGCCCTGGGGCAGGAAGGGCTCCGCATCGCCCCGGAGCAGCGTACGTGGCCGAGCCCGCCGTGCACTGGCTGCAGCCAGGGCCACAGGCGGCGGGCCATCCAGGCGTGGCCCTCTCTCCGCACAGCGCCACTACCTCATCGGCGCTCCCGCCTCTGGGCACCGCTGCGCGTGCCACGCAACGTTGCGCTGCTCGCGCTGCCCACGGGACTCGCGTCCCCCGCGGGCCCGCGCGATAAGGACGGGCCATGCGATGGCCTCACGGCGGGCAGCCTCGGCCTCCGCCTCGCCACCCGCGGCACCCACGATCTGCTCCTTCAAGCTGTCGATGGTCTGGCGCGCGGCAGCCAACTCGCGCGTCAGCCGTCTGACCAGGTTGTCGGCCGCCGCCCTGGCAGCAGCAACCCCAGTCAGCCTTTCCCGCGCCATCACAGATCCCGCGCGCCGAGAGCGGGCGGAACACCAGGCCTTGAGCCAAAATGGCTACGGAGGAGGAGGAGGAGGAGGATGAGGAGCGGCGCTGAGGCGGGAACCACATTTTGAAAAGAAGCCGCCTTCAATCCGTGAACCTCTTACAACTTGTGTAAATGGAATGTGCGCGGCGCTCAAGCGAGAGCCACATAGTGAAAACGGGCTTCCCTCAATCCGCGAAACTCTTGCAATATTTTACAACGACTGCGCGCAAAACTAAGGCGAGAACCATGTATTGAAAACGGGTCCCCCTCAATTCGTGGAACTATTGCAAACGCTTACAAGAATGCGCGCAGCGCTAAGGCGAGAGCCACATCTGCAAAAGCTGTTGCCAATATTAAAGCCTCATGGTCATAGATAGTGATGGAGTCTCAGGCGAAACGCCCGGCCCGCCCTAAACACTGGTCTCGCGGTGCGACAAGGAAGACCTACGTACTTATAAGAAAAGGAATACAGAAGGAGGAGGTGGAGGCGGAGGAGGAGGAATGGGAGGAGGAGGAGGAGGAGGAGGACGAGGAGGAGGACGAGGAGGAGGACGAGGAGGACGGCGGAGGAGGAGGAGGAGGGGGAGGAGGGGGGAGAGGAGGAGGAGGAGGAGGAGGAGGAGGAGGAGGAGGAGGAGGACGAGGAGGAGGAGGAGGGGGAGGGAGGAGGAGGAGGAGGGGGAGGAGGAGGAGGAGGAGGAGGAGCAGGAGGGGAAGGGGGAGGAGGGGGAGGAGGGGGAGGAGGAGGAGGGGAGGAGGAGGAGGAGGAGAGGAGGAGCAGGAGGAGGAGGAGGGAGGAGGAGGAGGAGGAGGAGGAGGAGGAGGAGGAGGGGAGGAGGAGGAGCAGGAGATGTGCCCCCCTCTCCTCTAACTAACCTCGCCTCGCAGCCTCGCAGCCTCGCAGCCTCGCCTCTAACTCGGGGAGGCGTCGTGACCGAACTTGTGCACGAATCTCTGCCTGGGTGTGGCCGAAACTTGCGCCGGAGAAGTTTTAGACGCGGCCCGGCGTGACCGAAATGCCTGGTTCGAAACCCAACCGACCTTCAACAACTTCGCTCACAATTTCGGACCCACGACGCGTTTGGTCGCAACTCCGGGCACGCTATTGGTCACCGACTTGTTTCGGCCACCTACCTGTTCGGCTGATACTCGCCATCGTTCGGACATCCATTCCACGTGCATGTTTCGATGGCGTGCGTCGATGTCCGGGATGCTCCTCGATGACCCTCGCCCAGGAAAACTGCACACGTCCGAGCGATGCCAAGGATAGGGGCGGGGTGCTATGAAGACTGTGCACCCCACGCCTCGCGGAGCGCCGCGGCTGCTGCGCATGATGCATGCCTGCAGCTCGCCCGTGCCAGGACTCTCGGGCGGGAACCTCCGGGCCCACGTGAACAGAGGGCAGAATCAGTCAGCATCAAGTTTGAAAGTCGGACCGAGTCGAACTGTGATAGGCAAAAGAGTACCCCTCGTCCCTTGGGAGGGGACCTAAGTCAGGAGGGCCATGAGCAATAGGGATAGGGGGCCTCTGCTGCAGCTCCGTCTCCGACGAGACCGCCCACGTGCTCAGGGAGAACCCTAAAAACCGACGACCTGAGGTAGGCCGCGAGGTCACGGTGCTGGCACGGTTCCCAGATCCCCCACGTCAGGACTTTTCCATTCCGTCGACCCCGGGAGGTCTCGACCCACTCCCCCGGACCAGCTTCTCATCCCGCATGGTTTTTTTGTTATGGCACCGAGGGCCGGCAAAGGCCCCCAGAGGCCGAAAAAAGCAGCAATTTTCCCGTCATGCTTTTTTTATTGCCCGAGGGGGTCTGGGGTGAATTAGGGGTCGTAGCATGCTCGAGGAGCACTGTGCGCCGCATCGAGCCGGCTCGGAGGAGGCAGAGGCGGCGGAGGCGGCGGAGGAGGAGGAGGAGGCGGAGGCGGAGGAGGAGGCGGCGGCGGCGGAGGAGGAGGCGGCGGAGGAGGGGGAGGAGGCGGAGGCGGAGGAGGAGGCGGCGGCGGCGGAGGAGGAGGAAGAGGCGGCAGAGGCGGCGGAGGAGGAGGAGGAGGAGGAGGAGGAGGCGGAGGCGGAGGAGGAGGCGGCGGCGGAGGAGGAGGAGGAGGCGGCGGAGGAGGAGGGCTGTAGCATGCTCGAGGAGCACAATGCGTCGGACCGGGCCGCATCGGCACGGTTGCGCAGCCGAGCCGGCTCGGCCGCGCCAGGTGCAGCACGGGCAAGCGCCGCGCAGGCACCGGGCCCCGCCAGGCAGCTCGGCGGCGCATGGGCAAGTCGGCATCGGCTCGGGCCGGCCCATCGATATCGAATCGGATCGGGCTATCCAGACCCCCTCGGGCAATGAAAAAATCATGACGGGAGGTTTTCGCTATTCTCGGCCTCGGTGGCCCTCGGGACCGCCAAAGCACGCCTCGGGATGAAAAACTGGTCCAGGGGAATGGGTCTAGACCTCCAGGGGCCGACGGAATGAAAAAAACATGACGTCGGGGGTCTGGGTATCGAATCGGCCAGAATCGGACTGTCGATATCCCGACGGATCCATCGGGTCGATGTGGAGACTGGACGGTCGCTCGCCCCAGCTTGGGCACGGGCCGGTCCATCCCCCAAGAGGGCATGCAGCCCCACGAGCAGGGTCCTCCCCCGGGCACCGGGAGAAGCGCTTCCATTCCCAGCCCTGCCCCGGGGCCCTTCTCCCGGACCTCCTCCCTCTGTTCTGCTGCTGGCGGCCAGGCCACCACTCGAGTGTGCAGGAGCACGGCCACGAGGCATGGCTGCCAGCTGCAGTTCGATCGTCTGCGATTATGTCATGTGTTGGCCCGTCACAAAAAAAGTGCGCTCGATGGGCCCAACGGCGCTGGTCCCACCCAGAACTCCGCCCCCTTCTCGATGGTCCTCTTGCAAGTCGAACAAGAGACCACTCGGCCTCTGGAAGTCCTCCTCCCACCTCGCCCGAGAAGTTTCTGAGAGGGGCGGGTGGCCGAAGGCTGCCGGCCAAAGGCGCCTACCGACAGACTTCATCGAGGGGGCCCCGAGCAGGCCTCTCGTGCCAATCATGTCGTCGCGCACCTGAGGAAAGAGAACGCGGCGCGGTTTGCGGCGCCGTTGGGTCTCGGGCCGCCTGCTGCAGCTGCTTGCTCGGGGTCGGCTGTAGCGCCTGTGCTTCTCATCTACAAAAAACACATCCCTCCAACGATACACATCATGAGAAGAAGAGGCAGCACTCACAGGCGGAGAATAAACGCTGGGAGGTGACGGGTGGTCCCACTCCTTGGGAGGCTCCTTCGGCTTGCTCAGCGTCAGCGGTTTGCTGGCATTCGACGCGCCAACGGCCTTCTGGGGAGGAGGCGAGGGGCGAGGAGGAGGGTCAGGGGGGGAGGGATGGGGACAAGGGAGGAAGGGGTGAAATGGGGAGGAAGGGAGCGACCAGCGTATGACGAAGAAGGAGAGACTGAGGAGAGGTGAGGAGGGGGAGAATGAGGGGGGAAATGAGGATGAGGGAGGAGGATGCAGGGGAACACGGAGTTGACTTGAACGTCAGATGGGCCCTAGCTTACAAGAGAGGGTGTCGATCGTCCTGGCATTTCCTTGAAGGGGCTGCGCAGCTGCTAAAAGTAATCGTGTCTAGTTGCGTGCCGCGCACACTGTAAACACGAAGGCGGCAATAACATAGAGATGGGCACGAAGTGTGGTTTTCAAAAGAGACTCACAATAGATGCGAACATATAGACACGACATGGTACTACACTTAGACACGAGCGTCAATACTAGACACGATAATGGGCCACGCGTGCAACTAGACAGGATATGTGCACGAACAGACACGAAGGGGCAGAACTCATATCCGAAGACGGGCTCGCGCGAAAAGACAACGAATGATAGACGCGCTTACGGAAGTGTCAACACATGTATATAAGCACACGTGCGAGTACAGAAGCATAAAACGTAGCCCTGTACACATGCGCACCCACGTGTGAGAAATCCTATGGTATCGGGAGTTCGGGGGGGGGGGAGCGCCGATGAGCGCAAAGGGAACAGTTTGGAGGAGCGCTGTGGAGTGCGATGGAGTGCGGGGGGGTCTCAAGGATTGAGGAGGAGTGCCGAGGAGTGCGATGCAGAGGGGAGGAACCAGGAGAGCCGAGCAGCGCGGTGGAATGGGGAGGAGTGGTGTGGAGCGCCGTGGAGTGCGATGGAGTGGGCTTGAGTCTGGAGGAGCGGGGGGGGGCGCAGGGGAGTGCGAGTGAGTGGGGAGGAGCTGGGAGGAAAGCCGACGAGTGAGATGGAACGAGGAATCTGGAGCAGGGAGCAGAGCCGAGGAGTGGAGCAGGAAGGAGTCCACAGGAGCGCCGACGGTTGCAACAGACAGAGGAGAAGTCGGAGGAGTGGAGTGACGTTCCGAGCAGTGCGATGGAGTGACGAACACTCCCGAGGAGCGGGGAGAAGCAGCGAGGCGTGCGATGGAGCGGGGGGAGATGCCGAGGTGTGCGATTGAGTGGGGAGGTCGGGGAGAGTCAAGAGGAGTGCCATGGAGTGGGGAGGAATCGGGAGGGGCGCCGAGGAGAGCGACTGGGCGGGGAGGACTCCGGAGGAGCATCCAAACGCGCCGAGGAGTGCGACGGAGTGGGGAGTCGGGGGGAGTCGGGAGAAGCGCCGACGAGTGAGATGGAACGAGGAGTCTGGAGAAGGGAGGGATGCCGAGGAGTGGAGTGGAGAGGAGTCCACAGGAATGCCGAGGAGTGCCGAGGTTTGGAATGGAGAGGGGACGCGTCAGGGGGGAGCGGGGTAGAGTGCCTGGGAGCGCGACGGAGTGGGAAAGAAGCATACATGTATAATGTCTTAAGACAGTTTCAAAAACAATCTGGGGGTACAGTTACAACAACACAGTACTTATTCCCAGCGCTGTCATGCCCCTATGGAAAAAAAGAGGAAGGCGGGTCCCGCGACCGCCATCTTGAGGCCATCTTGGGCGTCTTGGATCGCTCTTGGGCTGCCCTGGAGCCGCTGCAGGAGTTCTTTTGGCGCCTCCTGTGGGCTTCGTCGGCCTCCTGGCGCGATCCCAGCGCGCTCCTGGGGCCCCAGGGCCTCAATGGCACGTCGAGGGGCAACCCTGGGAGCCACCAGCCCTGCTCCCCGGTGTACATACTATTCCGATTCATATATTTTCATTGCCCGAACCCCCTCCACACCTCCCTAAACCAGACCCCCTCCCCCAGGGATGCCCCAGACACCCTTTCGGACGTCTCGGCGGCCCGCAGGACGCCCTTGGAAAAGTCCGCTGGCACTTCCGGGCTTCCCAGGGCGTCTTGCTGGGCCTTGCGAGCATATTCAAAGCGATCAGAGGGGTCATCGGAGAGGCGCAAGAGAGACCCAAGACAGCACAAGAGCGCTCCAAGAGGAACCTCGATGGTCCGAAGACGGCCCACGAGGCCCCCAAAACGCCCCAAGAGGCCGTTAAGAGAGCCCCGAAGAAGCACAAATCGTCCCATTCCCGTGGGAAAATGTATTTTAGCATATCCGCTGGTTTCGCATTCGCAGCGTCCAAGACGGCCCGATGGGCCCCCGATATCGCCCCAAGACGGCCCAAGAGGCCCCCAGAGGGTTTGAAGACGGCCCGAGAGGGCCCCAAGACTGCCCCAGAGAGCCCCGAGACTGCCCACAAAAAGCCTAAGATGCCCCCAGGAGGCTCCCAAGAGAGACACACGAAACCCATCGGAGACCCCCAGGAAGGCCACTGGAGGCCCCCAAGAGGGCCTTAAAATGGTTTCAGGGGACCCCTGGAGGGCCCCAGCCCCCCAGGACCGCCCAAAAAGGCCCCAGGACGGCCCCGGAGGGCCCCAGGACGACCCAAAAAAGCCCCCCAAAACGCCCGGACGGCGTCATCTGTGCGCTCGTTTTTTTTTGTTGTTCTCTCTCTCTCTCTCTCTCTTTCCCCCTTCCCCCCTGTAACTTTTCGTCGGCCTCCACGCTCGTGGCATCCGATGGTTATCCTCGTTCGCCCGCTCCTCCCTCTGGACCTTCTCCCCGTTTCTCTCCCCCTCCTCCCCCCTTTCCGCCTCGTCAGTTCCCCCCTCATCCCTGCTCCCTTCCCGTTCCCCGTTCATGGACAGGTGCCATCGCTACAGTTTGATGTGTCGTCGTTTGCCAGCACCGTCGCGCGTGAACAAAATTATCCCGGCAAAGCAACCTAACAGCGATGTGTAGAAGCATATCTGAAAGCATTCCCCTTAAGATTCAGATGAAAATCCAGTTGTCGAATTCTGCTGTTCTCGCAGTCGTAGTCGCATTCGCGATGACAGTTGCAGCGGCAACGGCAGTCGCAGTCACAGCCTCAGCCTCAGCCT